ATAGATAAAGATTCCCATCTGGGAACTTCAGCTCTTCTACCTGGGAACACCAAGTTTTACAGCCATAGTGATTACGTTGCAAAATCACACATTGACTGGAAATGGCTCACCTACATTAATATTACAGCTGGCATTAGGTATGCACTTTTGAAATTAATTTCCTGGTCATCCCCACTAACCCTTGTTTGGTTTGCAGGCTACAAACAAACCAGGGGGTTTTTTTGGATGAAACTAAGACAAAAGATGCACTCGGGAACTTGTAGTCCCTCCACCACTAGTCATGCAGTGTACAGAACTAGCCTGAAGAAAGTCCAAAGTCTCCTGAAATGCAGATTGTGGATATTGGGTCCTCAGTGCTACCTCTTTCACTCTGCAGAAACATTCCTATTGCACAGCAGAATGTAGATAAAGATCAAATTCCTGCTGACTAATGAACTCTAGACTCTTGAAAGTGCAGTTGTGTAACAGTACGCAAAGAACCTGCAGGAGGGGAGAGCCTTTTCATGCCAAATGATAGCCTATCTTATTTAGCTTCATTTGTTTCTGAAGAATAAAAATACTCTGAAGAAGTTACCCAAAATAAAGCTGCTAAGAGCAAACAATGTGCAGCTCAGAAGAATGAGTTGCTTCAGGGGAAAACTGGGAAAATTTCTGCTGTGTAGCCATGTGCAAGCCTGTAGCTGGGAAAATGGCCCTGTTAACATTCAGCTTCACATGAATCTGAGTTTTACAGCTTGTTGATTTTAGGGTGGGTAGGGTTGAAAAGAAGCTGAGGAGATTTGTTAGAGAAGTAAATAGCATTCCCTCATTTAGTTTGAAGCCAGCACTTTCATTTGGGATACTGAATGTAAAGGCTGATCCTTGGACATCTAGAATAGATGAGTCTGAGAGAAGTTCCAGGTAAATTTTTTCCATGAGAAGATCCTGAATTGAGGTGAACAGTAATTTTCTTCTGAGGTAATACTGCGTTAAGAGGCAGAAGATGAAGTCTCTCCTGATTCCCAAGAGCCCAAGCAGCAGAAGTAGTCACTGTTTTGAGGCTTGCTGTTGAATTTACGTGGTGTATGTCTGTGTCAGTTGGCTTCTATTCACTTTCTTACCCATAGAGAGCACTGGTCACTGCCCAGAAATACCGACATCCCATGCTCCACCACTACCTAAGCCTAAGCCTAAACCTAAAAAAGCTCCACTACCACCAAAAAACGCCATTGCCGCTTCCACTACCACCAGCCATAAGGGTAATGAAGCACCTCATGCTAAAAAAAAGGGAAAGGCTCCTGCTAAGCAGCCTCCTCTCCCGCCGCCCAAGCCAACAGGTGCCAGTGCAAATCGAGAAGCTGGTGAGTACTGCCCGTGCAGTGCAGCTGCGGTGGGTGCATGTGCATGGGGCTGCTTGCCGTGGTCTTACCGTGACTTGTGCCTTCGGATGTAGCAGTGTTACTGAGGAGCATGCCGTGGATGTTTGTAGAGAGCTTCCAGCTGGGCAATGGTTCTGCTGGCCACAAACGCCCCAGGCAACACACAGACCCCCTCGCTGTTGAGTGAACCTAGGTACAGCACCAAGCACATCAAAGACGGCATTGAATTCCTAGTTCAAGTGAAAATGACCCAGAGAATCAGCAAAAAAAATGATCCAGAGAGTCAGCTCAAGAATAAGCAGGATAGAAGGTGAACCAAGCATAAGTTACCCCTAAGTAAAACTAATTTGGTATTGCTGTAACTTTCTACTAGAAGGATCAACTATTCCAGTTAATTTGACAATATGACAAGATCACAAAGAAGTTAAGAATAAAACCATGAAGACATCTTAAAAGACTGTTGAATAGCAATTGGTTTAGCTGACAAAAAAAAAAAAAAAAGCCATTAGAAATGAACAGCCTTCCGATCTTTCCACTATTTGATTAAAAAAAAAAAAAAAAAAAAAGACAGCCATTAGAAATGACCAGCCTTCCCTCAGGTGCTGTGATGCTAAGTACATACTGGAAATGGAAAATATTAATCATCAAGCACATAGCACATGTATTTATCACCACACTATTACATCAAAATTCAGCAGTGATGCAAGATTAAAGGTTATAGGTGGATGCTCTTAAGGTACTGATCATGAGTTTGAATGGTTACAGTGTAGACAATGATCAAAATTAAAACATACACATATCATTTGAACACAAGCAGTATTTTGATGAATGGGCTCCATATATGTTTTGGCAAATTTATACAAGCCCTGTGTTTTCAGTCTCTGTCTGTCTTTCAAGGCCCTCCAGTCCCTCCAGTTTTCTCTGCAAGTATTTCTTTTCACAGCTTGTACATTTTGGCACATTTTGTATTTGAAGCATACAGAAGAGGACTGTTTGAAAACATTGCAAGACTTCTAGAATTACAATAGTAACTTTGCCATAAAATATCCATTAACTTGGTATTAACTGTCCCTAGTACATCAGACAACTACAAGAATAAACATTTTGAAAATCCAGAATTTGCTGCTTGTATTTCACATGCAGCTCTTCCTAGGTGAAGCAGCCTTGTAAGAACAGACCTTTCAGAAATAAAGCAATCCATCACATAAAGAACTGTTTATACCAGTGATTGGTAACAAGCTGTCAGGTATCTGACTTTTTAGACTAAAATACATTCAGGTTCCAGATTTGTCTTCCATTAGCCTTGCTGAAATGTCAGCCAGTGCTTGCAGACCATACAGATGTAAAATATATCCACAAATATCCCTTATTCTACTGGTAATTTCTTCCAACATTAAAAACATACTGTGTTCATTCAAAGTGGGGCAGTACTTAATCAGTGGAGCTGGTTTGAAACAGAGTTAGTACAAGAGGTTTGTCAGATCCCCATGAAAGTGAACACATGATGCAGCCAGCGATCAAGTCTCATGAAGGAGGAGAGGAATATGAGTAACAATTGAGCCATGGCTCTCCTGAGGGCAGCACAGCAGGTTTCCATACTGAAACAGTGGAACTGGGAGAATGGGACTTAAATGTAGGCATGGATGTGTGCCAAAAGGCAAACAACAGCCATTAAATTTTTCATTTAATCAGAATTCAAATCTTTTACTGAAAAAGAAGCATGACAGAAAATTGTCAGCCAGCCCAGTCAAAAACAACAACAGCAATAGCACTTTTGACCCATGTGGACACATAGGGGGGTTTTCTGTGGGAGAAATCTTTTCATTTTCTGTATCTAATTGCAGGTTCTGAGAACAATGTAAGGATTTTTACAATGGAAACATGTTTTGACATTTTCCCAGCCACAGTTGTGTGGTGATATATTTGTACTATGCTGCAATTCTTAAGTGCAAGCATGTAACTGGTTCTGTTGACCTCCAGCCTGTACCAGCCTGTATTCTGAAGGGGATCAGAATCAGAGCCTTTTCTTTCTACCATCCACCTACTCATTAAGATTTCTGTTAAATAATATGCAGGTTGGAACCACCATCTATTTCTATTGTAATTATGAACTTCTGCTGATGCCATTTTTCTGCTTCAGTTTGTTTTGCATGTAAATTGAGTGATTTGTGCCTGATGAGGGAAGATGAGTGCAGTATCAGTGATTCAGGACAGTGCCCTTTACAGTCACCTAGCAGCACAAAGAGGAACAGGGATTTGCCTGAAGTTTCTGTAATTTTTTTCAGATATATTGAAAGCTTCACAGCTCTCTAAATGTTTTTAAACCATAACAGCTGCAGAAGAGAACAGTAAAGTGTCTTTTGAATTAGTTTCCGTCTCCTTTGAGAACAGTCTCACTGTGAAAACGGATTTTATATCGTGAACTTATTATGGCCAGTGTCTGCATTTTGATTCTCTCCCAATCTGCTTGGGGGTTGTTTTTTATTTAAATGCTTACAAGTAAAGTAGGCCTTTCAGCAGATTTCAATTACAGCTTTCTGTTTTACTCAGTGAGCTTAGCCAGAAGGCTGCCATATAACTTTATAATCTTTCATTTGTTCTCTGGAAGTTAATGAATTTTTAGAATTACATCAGAAGTATTTGAGTCGGATGCATTTTGATGAAAAGGACTGAACCATTAGATGATTGTCATTTTTATTGCTTTTTAAATGGAAGTCAGAAGTTTGAAGCTCCCATCTCAGGTGATGACACAGCATGACATTGACACAGCAAATGGAAATGTGACTGGAATGCACATGGAAATGCGGGCTAGCTGAAATCTCTAGTGAGATTCATTATACATATATGCTTCAAAATGCTGAGTGTCACAGGATTATACAGTCACCTTGTACAGCTCCTGTCAAAACCTTGATTCACTACATTTTCAAGACTGCCTGAGTTGGTCGCTGGTAAGATGAAAGCCTCCAGTAGATACAGGAGCCTTCAGAGCCTCCTCCCTTCTGAAGGTCATTTGTGCAGAGTGACAGCAGTGGTTCCTGCCTCTCTTTTGTGGACAGACCCAGCTGGACTTAAAAGCACAGCTTGTTTTGCTGCCCCTCTGCTGTTGTCCTTACGTAGGAGAACGCCAATTGCAATAATATTGTGAAAGGTAATTCGCTGATACTCAGTAACAGTCCTCAGATGTTCATTGAAAAGTATAAGGAAAATCACAGGGTTTTCACAGTGATCAGACCAAAAATTCATGTAGTAGGAAAGGTCAGGCAGTTTTCTCTGCCAGGGAGCTTTTTTATTTTTTTTAGCTAAGTCACTACACCTATTTTTAGAATAAGTAGTGGACTTCCTAGATGATGTCCAGGCCAGGTGTAATGGGCCAATTCAGAATGCTCAAAACAAACTCCTACCCATTTGTAAGGCTGGTTCTCTCTGCTGTTCTTGGGCAAGTATTCATCATTTCAGTGTCTCCCGCACAAAGGTGAAATTGGAACGGCAACATTTCATTATCTCAAGTATTTACATTAAGTATTGTAGAAGTATCAAGTGTATTTTTATTTTGAAGACCAGCACAAATCAACTCATGCAGAAAATATAGCGCAAAAATCATTGCAAGACTGTAAAATGCCTTTTATTTTCTTTCTGTTTCAGCTGGTTCCTCTCATGCAAAAAAACTACCAGTCTCCAAGTCTTCTTCATCACCATCTCCTTCGTCCACATCATCTCATCCCAAAGCCTCTAAGGAGACTTCCAGCAAATCTGGCACATCAGGGACTCCCAGGGGCAAGAAAAAACCTGGGAAACAGTCAGCCCCACGAACAGCACCAGACGGGGCTGCTTCCTCCCCCTCAGGTGCGACAGCCGACAGTTTGGAAGCGAAGGCAGAAAAACCCAAGCCTGAGCAAACTTCCATAGTAGTTTTTGAAACGGAGAACGCAGACCAGTCAAGCAAGCTTGTTGTGCCCCCTCCTCCCACCGCTGCCCCTCCTCCACCTCCACTTCCACCTCCTTTTCCTGCTGCAGCTAGTCAGCCTGCTGGCTCCTCAGATGCCCAGGATGCGTCAGACAGCTGTGTGGCAGGGCCACGCAGCCCTGGGTCAGACACAAAGCCTCTTGTCCCGACTGAGCGTGGCACAGAGCAGAGTCTGAGCAGTGCAGCCCTAGGCAGCGCTCCGGATGCCGGAGGAGAAGATGCGGAAAGGTGAGACAGTGCGGCTGTCCTGGGGGAACGGTGGGACCACAGCCGAGGAAGCCGTGCACATTTGTGTGCACCGTAGGCACATGGGGATCTCTTCTGCTTCTTCTGCTGACTGGGAACAGTTTGTGTGGCAGCCCAGCACAGTTTGTTCCTTCCCGGTGCCTTTGAGCCTTTCACCTGCAGTACCTCATGTTTCCCCAGAAGGTCGTTCCTCATGACCTGTCTCTTCATTGTGTGGCTGGCACTGGGGTCAGCAGTTCAGCTCAAAGCTGATGGCACTTTTATTTATCTCTCATAAAGGCAAAAAAGAAGTTATGCCGAATTGTAAGAGGGTTCTTTTCTGTAGATGTCTTTTTTTCTGTAGATGTCATTAAATATCTCACTGCTAAAGTTCTCGATTCAATAGCTGAATTTACTTGAACATTTGAAAATGAGGGTTTTTTCAGGCTTCAGTTAGTAGGTGTTTGGTTTTTTACTGCCTAATAACTTGTCTAAATCTCGAGTATTGTAAAAACTGGTCAAGAGAAAAGTCATAATTACATTTTTAAGCAAAATATTTGGCAGAATAATGAAACTGCCTTATTAATTTGTCTTTTCTGTGCCACAAAAAATCAGCATATTTTATATAAATACAAGAGGGTTTAGTCTAGATGCAGGTAGCCTAGAGACCTTTCTTTAAATTCTTGCTGGTACATCTGTTGCCAGCCCTGCACTGTAGTGCTGCATCTCCCCCTGCTCTACCCTTCCTTTACGTAAAGATTTTCCCAAGGCAAAGGGCAGTCTGCTGTTGATCTCCATGTTCATCAGTGATGAGCTTGAACATTTTGAGCTCAACTGTAGTGAAACTGTATTTACAATAAGTAGGGTTAGGCTTCCCAAACAGGAAACTTTGCAGTCCCATCTGCTCTCCAACTTGCTCCTCTCACCCCCAGTTTTATGAACTGTTTGCTCTCTCAGTCCCAGCCCACAAGAAATAAAAACCAATTAAGATTTGTCTTAATGTAATCTTTACAGCACTCAATCATTCGGGATTGTTTGCATCCTTTTTCCTAACACACATACATAGAAACATATACATAGCTGCATATGTTAAAAATGTCTTATATATGTATGTTTTTTAGAAAGGAATTAGTTTGATTAACAGAACTTTTATTTTCATCCTTCTTATTCAGTTGCTTCTCATTGGTGTTTTGTTCTGCTTGCATTTATATGTCACCCTATCTGCTCATGAATGAACAGCTTGGCTACCAAAGAAGACCAGGAAGGGGAGGCTCCAGATGAAGCATTCTCTGAGCTAGTGGAGGAGGCTTCTGACGCTGCTGCCCCTCCTGAGAGTGAAAGCAGCAGAGAGAGCCATGGCAGTGACTCGGACTCGGACGGGCCGATCCTGTACACAGATGATGACGATGATGATGATGATGACGAGAATGCAAGTACTGAAAGTAAGCATTCTGCTCAGGAAGCTACAGGTTGCCATTCTCAGATTGGGTTTTGTGAACATGCCTGACCCATGCTAGTGTGAGGCAGAGAGAGGAATGGCTGCAGGGAATGCTTTTATTTAGAATGATTTATTATTTTGTCACTACTGAGAAATGAGTGTCCTTGTCCCAGGCAATCATGATCAGAAACCTGCTGGGGCCTGTGCATGGGTGAGAGCAGATCAGTCATTGCACGGAGGAGAGTGGAGGTGGGAGGAACAGGTTCAGAAGGACAGGAGGGTGGGACAAGGTGGAGACCTTAGGGCATCTCAAGCCATTAATTTGGCTTGCCCACATCATGAGTTGCTTGTGGGAGTTACAGATGTGATGGATGACAGAGGAGGCCCATCAGTCAGCAGCTTCACTGTCTGAAAGTCACTTGTTCCTCTTTGATCAGGATGTTTTAAGCACTGGAGCAACCTTAGGAGACAGAGCAGATCACAGTAGATTACATAAAAGTTTTACAGCTTTGAAATTTTATCTGGGGACATGACTCTATCATCACCTTAACTGGGCAGAAGCCCTGCTGTGCTGAAGGAGTTGTCCTGCCTCCATTCTGCCTAATCCCTGCTCCCAGCTGTTCTTTCCTTAGGCTAGAGTTCATGTTTATTTTTGTAGGAGCAGCTGTTGTTGAGCTGATTTTCAATAGAATTCGTGGTTCCCTGATCCAGCTCACCCAAAGGCTTCGCCTTTGCTTGGGCAAAGAAGACAGCAGCAGGCTGTCAGGAGCATGAAGGAGGGCAGCCCTCCCTCTACCTCCTCCAGGGTGCTTTATGTCAGTATGAAATCACCATCAAACCATGGTTTGAGAGGCTTGCTCACAGCTTTTTTGGAGGAGGTGCTTCACTGTGCTCAACAAAGAAGGTTTGAACGCCAAGGTCCAGTGTACCAAAGTGGCATGAGGCAAAATGAACATGTTTTTTGGTTGGTTTTTTTTCTTAGCCACTAGTGCAGGAGAAGGTGAAGTGCTAGGTAGCTCAAGAGGCTGAAGTCTTCTGCAGTTCTTTGTTGGGTTTGAATGCAGCCCAAAGTGATAGAAACCACAAGTGCGTGTGTTCACACAGCAGCACAGTGTCTTATGAAAAGTGAGCTGGGAGCCTGTGGTCTTACCAAACTGCCTTACACAGTGAAAATCTGCCAGGCTAAGGCATATGTAGCCCATCTCGGTCAGAATGTCAAGACACAAAGGAAATACTATAAAGGCTGTGAAAAATGCCCTTCCTTCCACAGTTGGCTGAAGTTAATGCTGGCCAAGCTGCAAAGCCCTTGTCCCTACAGTGTCAGTTTTATGGAGAACAGATTGCTTCAGTGTCTGAGGGTTCCTGCCTAGGTTACTTTACAGGCACTCTGAACACTTTTTTGAGCTGTATTTTTTGGTTTAGTTTACAAATAACTTAGAGATGGAAAGCACTATAAAAGAACTAAGTGGTAATTGAAAAAAAAGTTGGAAAAATGAGGGAAATGATGATAGAATGAGACTAAGCCATTTAAGGCTGAAGAAAAAGAGCAGCAGTTGCTAAATATACTAAGTAGATAAATAAGCCAACCTGTAACATATTAGACTTCAAAGACATTTTAGTGTAGATTTGTCATTTTTATCCTATCACTTCACAAATGACAAGTGATGTTTGTATCAATTTGGCTCGTAGCTTTTCCCTTCAAGCCTTTTAGCTTTTTATTGTCATGAACTGAGCTAAAATTTTTCTTTTGATGTTAATTAAAATTCCTCTCCTGCATGTGGGAACAAGGTTGCTTTGGGGAGGTATTTAAAAGTTCTTACTGCAGTTTGTCTCTGTAATCTGAGCATGAATGAACTAAATCTACCCTACTCCACCTTTCCTCAGGCTCTTTGGCAAGTAAAATTCGTCGTAGGGATACTCTTGCTATCAAACTTGGCAACAGACCATCTAAGAAGGAGTTAGAAGACAAAAACATCTTGCAGCGTACATCCGAAGAGGAGAGGCAGGAAATCAGACATCAGATTGGAACAAAGCTTGTGAGGTATCAGTCTCAGGGTCAATGTGGTTTCACTGGGTGGAGGTGGAGGAAGAGAATTGAGAACACTGGGTTCATGTTTTAAATGCAGCTCAATGTGCACTGCAGGATCTTTGTGGTACAACTCTCTGGAAAATGGTGGTTTTATTTCTCACAAAATTTTAAACTGTCAATAATTTTTTTTTTTTTTTTTTGTCCTACAAGAAACAAAATCTGAGAGCTTTTGGGGTTTTGGGTACTTTGGTTAAAAAAGGAAAGAAGAGGAAGAGGGTAAGAATGAGTCCACAACAATCAATGCCATGGTTCTGGTTCTTTCTCAGATTTGTTAGCAGAACTTCCACTTGTATACCCATCTCAGACAGAGCTCTACACAGAGCATACCTGTGCATGTTGTGCCTTCTGACCCTTCTTCTCTTCCTCTGGCTCTCCAAGTCCTTCATTATCATATGCTGATTCCAGCAAAAGAAGTTGAGCCAGTGAGTGTTTAGTGTTTTACTGTACCCAGCACTGAGGCACATCTATCTCAAGCTGTTAAACTGCTATGGGATGTATGTTACTTTCTCCTTCTGGACTCGAGAATATTGCATAAAAAATTCACTTGCCTTTTATAGTTTGGTTTTTTTTTTTTTAATATTCACATTTATTTTGGCTTTTTTGGTCTCTGAGAATAGACTACAGCATGCCTGTATTTTGCTAGACCTGTCCTTGTTTCTGTTTGGCTCAGGAATGTTGTCCAAATTTGGAGGATGTCCTGTGTTTTTGGAGAGTCCCAGATATGGGGTAATCCAGTTGGTACTGCTCCTGCATCAACACCCAGAAGATGAGCGGAGTTGCTCTGTGAACTGGGTGTCTGGCCAAGGCAGCTATTTCATTACTGAACTGTAAGAGTGATACATCTACTAGATGTAGAGCCCAAGGGTCATTTTTATTCTGCTAATAAAGAGGTGTTGTTGTTAGCATCACTTTCCTGAACAAATCCCAGCTCTGGTGATCACATCCTGCTTGTCAGTCTTCCCTTGGGGCTGGAACTGCAGAAGCTGCTTTGTGGGTTCTGCTGGAGAGCTGAAAGGCAATGCACACAGCTCTGCTTTGGTGGCAGGAAACAAGATCTGTGTACATCAAGGCTGTGCTCATACCCAAAATCACATCCAAGTGTGATGCCAGTTTCTTAAAAATTCCTGGCCTGGTGGTCAGCACCTGGCATCATCGAGGTCTGGTGGAAAATCTGTTCCCACAGCTCAGTCAGGTTGAGTAAGGTCCCCATCCCCACCTGGGACTTCCTACAGCTGGGACTGGTCACCTGTGGTAAACCTGCCAGTCCTCTGGGACAAATCCGTAAGTCCAAGAGTGATTTGAATTGGATGAGTGTCACGAGGCTAAAGACAGTCTGTAGTGAAGTGTGTGAGTGTTGATGAACAGAGAGACGCCTATCTTGAACACACCTGCAAAACAAGTTTTACTGCTGAAATTTTTCTTGCTCTTTTCCTCAAGTGAACAAGTGGACTTGTTTAGTAAACGCAGAGGCAACATCAACCATGTTCGCCCCATTACAAATCAGAAAATTAATATCTCAGTTTGGGGTTTTTGTAATGGCAGTTGTTATATTTAGGTAACTAAATAAAATTAGGTTTCAGGTAAAGCTCCCATTTGTATTGTACATACAAATTAATGAGGAATGAACAGCTTATGGGTTTTGTTGGTTTTGGTTTTTAAAAAAAATTTAGTAAGATTTCAAAATATCAAAAATATCAAAATTCATTCAAAACATCTGAGAATAATCTAACAATTGCACATCTGATTATAATGATGGTACTTGGGAATAAAGAAGGTATATGGATTTATTAATGAAACTACACCTGTGAGGATTTTAAATTTGCTGGTACAAATTCTGTAATATTATTCAAGTATCAATTATTCGTGTGTTCAAATGGCAACACTACATCTTTTAAAACAAATGGCCACTCTGGTTACATGAGCAGTTATTGTAACTGCCTGGAAATTACTTCCAGAAATTACATTTTTTAAGCTGTATTACAAATCCTCGTGTCATTTAGATCTGGTTTTAAATCAGCCACTTACTTTGTTCTTGCAGGAGACTTAGCCAGAGGCCCACAACTGAAGAGCTGGAGCAAAGAAATATCCTGAAGCGTAAGTATTTCATTCAGGGTTCATATAGTATTTGCTTAGAAAGGGATCATCTGTTGGATTCATATGGAAGCCCACCAATGTTGCTCCAGTATTAGAATCATAACTAGAGAGAAATCATGTTCTAGAAAATAATGTGTCAACTCTTGATTTATACACTAACCTGTAATTGTAGCTTTGAAAATTCCACTTATTGAATATGCCAAATTTTACTTGTCACAATCTCACTTCTTGAAGCTGGCCCCAAAGACCAGGAATGACTTGAATACCCTTTAGAAATAGTTCTAGGCCAGTTAACCTTCCACCTGATTTTTATGAGGAGGAGAAGAAAGGAATATCAGTTGGAAGTGCAGGTGGGATGGAAGGGCAGAGGTTGGAAGGAGGAGTAGGAAGAAGAAAGGCAAAGTGTTCAGCAGAAAGTCAATAGGTATATGCCAACTACTTCAGCATGCTGGCCTTCATATCCACTTCTGACATAAATGTCTTCTGTACTGAAACCTGCATGAGATTCTCACTGAGTATCTTCCCATTGATTAAATCCTTCCTCATATCCCTGCTGAAAAAAGTCTGTAATTCAAACAGTCAGGGGTGGAGGAAGTACATTAGATGTTTACCCTTTATACCTATTCTGCCATTTACTTGTGTTGCTTCTGTTCTTTGGCTGGCAAACTCTTCAGAACAAGCATTGTTTTGTCTTTCTTTATGAATCTTTCCATAATAAAGATGTTACCTAAACACACAGTGCAACAGGTGCCATGCCCAGTTCCACCTAGTCCTGTGTTCATCTTGCAGAGGTGATTAGTACTTGATGGTTAAGTAGAAGAAATAAATAAAGAAAAGACACTTTATAATAATAAATCAAAAATCACACAAATAGCAAACAAAACACCTCTTAAGGCATAAGTACTTCTCACACCTGATCAAAGAGTTGGTATGATGCTGTTATTTCCAGCAATTGTTCAGTAAAGTTGGAGCTCATCTGTGCAACCCTGGTGTCAGCCCTGATGTGTAGCATGCTAATGGGAAGGGAAGAAAAGAAAATGGGATGTTTACTTGACAGCAGCCATGGACTGATGACTCTGTCACTTGCTCAGGCTAGCAAATCAGGGAGAGGGCAATTATTGGCTTTCAGGCAAACCATCCTGATAATAAAATGCTAATAAAATCTTACTACTATTGTTTGAGCTCTCAAATGCCAAATAGTGCTGTCTTACTGAAAAGGGAAGCTACAGTTCATGCTTGCACAGGAGAGGGATCAGGGGCCTCCTCTCCGACACATAATGTGAATAGACTTTCTAAAACTCTAATTTCCAAACCTATAAATTTCATAGATAAATAAAGATAAAATTGGAAATAAGAACTTTTTTTAATATATGACAAACTTCTCGTGCTGGACTATGTGAGAAAGGTAAATCCAAAACATCTTTGGTGGGCCAGGATATGGCCACTGAGCTGGGAGCACCAGCTGGGCTCCCTTATTGCCCTTTCTCGCTTATCTCGAGGTGACCAACCCAGCAGCGAACCTGTGATGTATTTAATAGCCCCTTTTGCCAGTGTTTATTCCATTCACTGCTTTTGCAATAAGTAGCTCAAGACTGGAAAGCAGTTAATAGATTTCCTCTCCTGTTTCAGCTTGTTTACTTTAAGCTTTTGGCAGCGCACCAGGCTTTGCACTCCGTGCCTCCTGCCATCCTCCCCTGCTGCTGCTGGGGGGTGTCTTAAAGAGGCCAGGGAGAGCGAAAAATAAAGGCTGGGAAGCAGAATTATAAATCACAAAAAAAGTCACAGAGACCTTTGCGAGCACGTGGAGGAACTGCTTTTTGCTCATGACTGAGATATAGAATATTTCAAGTTGAAAGTGATCTATTAAAACCAAAGCAAACCAAAAGCAAGACAGGGTTTCTGATGAGAGTCTGACTCAGTCCATTCAGGGTGCAAGTTTTCTCTAAGCTGTAAGGCACTTATACTTTACATCAAAATTATTGCCATTCCTTCCTGTGGATCATTTGAAAATGTTTACACATCTTAAATGCCTTTGTTGGTGTAGTGAGCTTTTGTGAGTAAGTTGGGATTTCTTTCATAAAGTTTCCTTCCTCATATTTTTTTAGCTGTGGATGGGGAGAAAGAGTTATATTATTGTGTGTATGTAAACTGCAGCTAAGGGGATGTATTGTTTTGAGTAATATTTATCAGACTTTGAGGTTACATTAAGTGGTAAAGGTCCAAATGTTTACTTCAGGATAAATTTCAGCCCAAATCTTCTAAGAGGTTCAGAAAAAAATCCCTACTTTTTTTCTTTTTTTGTATTTCCAGTTAGTGAGCAAGTTTGTTTTGCAAGAAGCTTTGTTTTGATAATATTTCCAGATAAACCAGTTACTGAAAATCCTGTTTCCAAGTACGATGGCAAGACATTGCAGGCGGATTTGTTTAAAAACTGTTTGGATAAAACTATCCAGACTTCTGAGACTTCCCACACTAAAACAAAGTTACGACAACTTAAGAGTCCACTTGAAGGAATACATAAAGCCCTGTGTTTTTTATAAAGGCAGACTTCTTGCACACTGGCTTTGAACCAACAGTATTTATAGTATAGCATTATGGCAAAAAAACTTTTTAGTCTTCCAAGACTTTCAGATTAAGATAACTGTATTTTTTTCCTGTATTTGTAAGGGACAGTGAATTTCTTGTACAGTGCACCTGCATGCCTGCCAGTAATGGCTTTGTAGAAAATGGGGTTTAGCTTTCAATGCTTGTTAAGGAATATTAATGGTTATCTTTGCTTGTAAAACCAGGAAAGAGAAACCACTTTGTGCATTTCAGAGCACTGCAAGGAGCAAGTGCTTTGTTTGTCTTTTCTTTCTCTTTTCTTAGCAAGCCCACAGAGAACTCTAAACATAGCTAATCCCATAGGGACACAATGGAAAGTTTGGTTTTATGCTCCAGGAGTATTTTTTGGTCAAGAATGGAGCAGTCCTCAGGCAGGAAAATTTGTCTCTTTTCTTCTCCCCTTGTGCTACAAAACAAATGTCCCACAGAACAGAAGGTGACCAGATGTAATGTGGTAAAAGTTGCAGGAGCAATAATGTATAGATGATAGGGAAGCTGCTTGTTTGGCTTTGACTGGTGGATTATTTAACTTGACGGCCACAATAACTGATGCTAAACAAAATTGTTTCAATTAGGAGTCAAATCCCAGTTTGACCTCCTAGGAATTGCAGGCAGGGAAGGAGGGAAGCCGCAGTTTTGCTGGGATCTAATCAGAGACTTCTGCAAGCAAAGGGCGCTCGCTGGGCTGGTTCTTTGCCAGTAGGGCAGCAGCAGGACATCTGAGGAGGGGACTTGCAGCTGAGAACGCTGTGTTTATGTTTTCTCTCTCCACATCACACAGATTAGATCTGCTTTTAAGGTGGAAAGCAGTGATAAGTGTGTTCCTGTGCATTAATGTGTTCCTGTTTGGCCAAGTGAGTCACTTCATACCTGCAGCCAAATCTTGGCTCTCTGGCTGGAATTTTCCACAACACCTACAGGAACCAGGAGCACCAGACCCATTATTTTTAGCAGCACACATCTTCTTAACTCCCTACAGCAACTTTCAAAACTTTTACCTTAAAAGACCAAAAGCACACTGTAGATTTTACTGTTTGTAGGAATTTGTATCCAGGCAGCATTTCTGTAGCACCAGGCTTAAAGCAAGACTCTGCCCAGCAGGCTGGAGGTAGGAAATGGGTGCTTTAGGTACAAGTCAGTGCCAGAGACAGGGGCCCACGTGCCCAACAGCAGATTCAGTATATTACTAGCAGCCACAAAATTTCAGTCCATTTCCTTTAGCTCTTGAGTTTTATTCCTAGAAGTAAACCAACTTGAATGTATAAAATCCTGTCCCCGACCTTTCATGCAGAAGACTGTCTGTTCCCCATGGGTTTGATCCTCTCCTGCTTTCCCCAGGATATAAAGAAGCTCCTGGTTCCTCCTGTTGGAAATATCCTCCAGAAGATGGCCTGCTCCAAGGGGTACCTAGACCCTCTGCCCAGTCACTAAGATGCTTGCCCTTTTTGGGGGGTTTTTCCCTTGTCTAGCCATCCCACTGTGCAGTCATCTGCTCCCCACAGGGATCTGGCTTCACAGCTTAGGAGAGGCAGCTAGCCTTCAACCTTCCTAAATGTCTAGAGAAAGATTTTTAAGGCATTTTATCCTCCCCCAAAATACAGAGAAACACTATTTAAGGTGCCATGCTATTGATAGTTCTTCCTTAAGGTATACATTAAGCAGCATGAGCCCCTGTTTCTTACATGAAGCATCTTATTGCTGCTTCTTAGGAGACACTGTGGTTTAGATAGCAAAGAAAGGCCAAGATATTAATAATGCACAACATACTTCACAAGCTAAAGTAAGGAAAGGGCAGTACAGTGATGTGTACATTCAGTTGTCTTTTTTCCTTCTATGTCTGCTACTGGAGATTGTCCGAGGTAGGACTCAAGCAATTCCATTCATGAGGGGACAAAATTTTTTATGTCCCATGATTCCCAAGTGAATGGAACCCCAAAGTAATAGTTTGTGTTTAATTACCTCAGCTACTGTGTCTATTCATTGCAAAGACAGGATGTTTAAACAAAAGCCTACAGATGATTTATCTGTCCCAAAACAGCTAAAGACCTTTTGACTTTTTTAGGTGAGGATATTATGAGATTGGTTTTCCTTTAAAGTTATAAGTCCTTAAATATACCCAACTTATTTATTGATAGATACATTAATTTAAAAAATTAAAATGTAGATTAATCTATAACTCTCCAGTTACAGTTATTCTTCAGTTTGAGTCCATTTACAGTTCCTCTATAGAAACAGGCTATCAATTTCTTTTCAATTTAAGAGAAAAGCAATTAATAAACCATAAATTAGATGCATATTTCAGTATCTCAGTAACACCACCAGCAACCTGAAATCCAACCTAATCCTGCCAGCAAGGCTGTGCGATTGCACCTTGCTCTTGGTGATGTTGGTGTTGGAGTCTTCTCACAGAGAAGACCTTGGGCAAGCACTGCCTTTTTCCCACTTTTTCCCTTCTTACTTTTTTATTTTTATAATTTGTCCTCTCCTCCTTTCCCTGATATTCTTCTTATATAAAAGCATTTGAGAAGCAAAAGATATATGTCAGTACCATGAGGTGTCCTGTCGTAGCATTTTCTCCAGTGTGAAAGTCATTACACAGAAATTCTCCTCAGGCCAGGTCACCTCTACTAACACAGCAGGCTGGCCACAGGAAACAGAGCAAATACAACTATACCAGGATTTAAAACTCCCTTTTCATCTATACAAGTTGGCTGTATCCAGAACAAATTAATTTCTTTAAATTTATAGTTAGCCTTGAACTGTAATGCAGAGTCTGTAATCCCAAGCCATGAATAAAACAGGATCAGAATTTTATGTATTTCTCCAGGTGGGATATTTCAGCCACAAAACTTTGTATATAACCATCAGAATTGGACTGAAAGGGCAAATACTGTCCTTCAAACCATACATCAATTAAAAATATGCTGAGCCCACATGAACATGTCTTTCTAAGTGTGCTTTTCACTGGCAGTCAAGAAATCAAGTTTGGTGAGAATAGAAATTTGTTAAAAGGAAATTGTTTCATTCATATGCCCAAATAAATTCTAAAAATGGACATAATTTTCTGCTGTACTGGTTCATTTGGTCCAGCCAGTGGCCCTTAACCAAGAGGGCTTGAGTGTTGAATCATATCCTTCCATTATAAAACCAGAAAAAAAAATTATATAATAACCGATTTGCTGACAAATGACCATGAAACAAATGTCATTGATTCGTGTCCTGTAGCAGCAGTAGAAACTTGGGTAATTCAAATACTCAGAGTAAAATTTTCACTTGGCATTTATAAATTAGACTCTTACTCTAAAATCAATGTTGGAAGTAAAAGCAACAGTGATTGTAATGTTAAAATAAGTAATTGAAACATCAGGCAACTCTTTCAGGGTACTTGCTTGCTGGTACAAGAAAGGAAATGACAGGCACCTTCTCTTTGCTGTGCTCGTGACCCACAGTTGACTTGAGATGTCTACAGAATCAGGGGAAATGCGGATAGGGAAAAGAATGAGAGCAGACAAAAGCCAAAAAGCAGACAACACATGCGGCATCTTCCAGAAATATGAGGAAACATGAGCCAGGACTTGGGAGTTCTGAAGCTTTCAACCAAGAGAAATACAGTATGTGCAGTTATAATACTTAAATGTTCACTCCTTTTTATCTCTTCTAAAAACAGAGAAGAATGAAGAAGAGGAACAGGAAGCCAAAAGAGAAATAAAACGTAGACTCAGTAGAAAGGTGATGATGTGCTTTTTTGTATTGTGTATTTTTGTACATAGAATTATGTTTCATAAGAATCTAAAAATCAGTGTATAGACATTGCTGCAAATGTCCATCAGTCATTTTCCCAGATTAGAAATCTGCTTAAAAAGCAGTACAAGCCAAGAAGACCCCATCCTGTCCAGTTCCTCACACCTGGAGAAGCATACTCAGTCTGGCCATATCACTGTTTCTAAGCAGGGGACACAAGTGACAATTTTCCTCTGTAGCATGACTACCCCTGTCACATATGATCAAGAGCAGTCACACCTGTAGATCCACTCTTCCCTAGAGCAGTGGAGAGGGCAGCAAAACAATGTGACCTCTAAGATATCCTTTCAGTGCTTTTCTAACCACATCAGCGGTCTTAGCTTCTGCGGGTGGGATCATGCTCATTGTCCCTGGAAATGGAGCAGTTACAGATACAGTTCTGGGAGAGGATGGGAGGAGTTTTCATGAGTATCCCTGGTCTGCCTGTCTCTGCAAAAATACAGTTTCCTTAGTATGATCATCCTTAGTTAATTAAAGTGAATATTGTTTGAGGTGACTGAAACAATTTGGCATTTTAATGACCCCAAATATGGTCCAAACCAGTTTTTTTTTTTTAGGCAGATACTTCCAAATGTCACGTATTTTTGGTATTACAGTTTTAACACGGTATAACTGTTAATGCAGATGGCCTAGTGGGGTAGTGCCAGTTGCAAAGTCACAATTAACATTCCAGGGATAACTGTCATGATTCTCTGTGACCTGCTCGACAAAGACTATTTTTATAATTGAAGAAATCAGGTTAGGCTGCCTCCCCATTCCTGCACAGCACTCCCAGGATGGTGCCTTTTTTTAGACACCTGAAAGTGACCCTATTTAGAAATACCATTAAAGTCCTCTTGAGATTACATCATACCCTCCTCTTTTATTTTATTTCATGTTATTAAGCATACTATTTTCTGCCTCCCGCTTACAGCTCAGTCTGAGGCCTACAGTGGCTGAACTTCAAGCGAGAAGAATCCTTCGATTTAACGAGTACGTGGAGGTCACGGAATCTCCGGATTACGACCGTCGTGCTGACAAGCCTTGGGCCAGGTTAACTCCTGCAGACAAGGCAAGGCACAAATGTAGATTATAAGAAAATGCTTTCATCTGTCACTTTTGGGGGAGCTTTCCTCTGGTTTACATTCTCATGATGCCAGCGTCACAAATGACATCTGCTGGTGACAGCAAGATTTTCATGGTGCTACTGTGCATCTACTGCCTGCAGCTAAGAAAACCCACTCAGGTGCCTATTATGAGCCTATTTTCCACCTCCATTATGACAGTTTGGGCCACAATTTCTAAATTTTTTTTTCTAATTTTTAAATCCTTGCTAAGACAGATAAAAGTTTACCAAAGGTGGCCCTGATCTGTGGGAATTCAGGCAGGGGTTTGCAGGCAGAAGTCTGCGTCACTGCTACCAGGAGTTGCTTTTAGCACTCATCAGAGTGAAAAAAGGTAGAAGCTGCTCCATCCTCAAGGTTATTGGCCATAACCACCAGTGCAGGAACTGACCACGTGCATGCAGCACAGCTTCTTGGGAAGTTTGCCCCTAACATCCTACAGTTAATAAAGCTCTGCTGCCTGATTACAAAAGATGAGACAAATGATCCTGTGATTATCATTTTTAAAAAATATTAGTCAAAGATTACCATAAGGTACTCTTCCATTTCCCTCCTATACTACTTAATGAAAGGAGAGCTGTAAAATTCAAGTAGCCCAAAGTGCTGGCTCTTAAAGCACTGGGTCTGAACCAAGACCTATAGACTTTATGGAACTCCGATGAGATGTGCTTAACATGAAAAGTGGTGTGTGCAAGAACCCACTCTATTTTGGCTAAAGGTAGTGAAGCACTGATTTTATTTCAGCTTGTATTTTAATATTAATATTTTTAAAATGACAGCTCATCTGAGAGTTGTATCAGGTCAAGGTGAAGTAGTTAAAAATGTAGTCAGAAGTGTTTGTAGATGTTAGTTATGGGAGATGCTGAGCACTGTCTTTTCCTCCCAAAATCTGTGGGAGGTTAGAGGACCCAGCACCTCCGCTTTGACAGAGGTCCAGCCAGGGTAAACTGCACTAGAAGAAAACAATGGAGTTTCCTATCTACTTCAGGGTAGCAGCTTTTAGTCTCAATTCATTTTGTAATTACAGGTGCCCAAGGCTGATCGTGTCAGCCCCAAGTTTGTTGGCCTTAGCAGAAAAGCAGGTTTGGGGTTGTGTGGAAACTCCCTTGTCTTTTTTTTTTTCCCAAAGAAATTCTTCTAATTCCAGTAGGAGCAGAAAATTGTGCTACAGCTGTATTACAGCTATATTATAGAGCTGGAGCTCTGCTGTCTTTGTTGCTGATTTGGTGCTCAGAAATCACTGTCTCTACAGCAGCCTCATGTAAGCATGCTGTTGTGGCTAAACACGACCACCCCAGCTTAAAGCAAAGTTTATCATTTAAAAGACTGCAGCCTGCTGATGCTATTATTTTATCATGCTTCTTGTCTGTTCTGCACTGAAAGGCATGCACACTAGATGACATTTCTTTAGGGATTAATGAAATGATACTGTCTTTATTTAAAGTGGTGAAAGAAAAGAATGAGTAAGAATAAACTTATTTCCTTTAACAGTGAAGGTAGGAAGTTGTGTGGCATAGAAACAAAACCTCTTGTAGTATACATTAGAATATTTCAGAAACTGTATTTATTACTTGATGAAGTAAATTGCTTATCATTCTCTTAATGTAAGCAACATGGCATTTACAAACTGTACTGAATTTCTTCTGTGCTTTATTATCTGCCAACTAAAAATCCAAGCCTGAAATGTCCAAATAATTCATGTCATTTTACATAAAACTAATCAAACCAAGTGACTAATTCCACTTTAAAAAAAATGCTGTTCATCTTGCATTCCTGAAGTCCTGTCTCCAGAGGGGACATACCAGGACCATGCTGTGCACACAGTGCCTGTGCTGGCAGAGTGATTCACCAGCTCCTTAGGACTGTGCCTGGAGATAGAATCCCCTCCTGTCTGCCTACTCAGCAAGTGATTGTCAGGGTATTCCAACCCCTTGCCCATTTTTGACAGTAGAAGTGCTCTGTCTCAGTGTGGGCTTTGTTCCCCCATTGCAGTTGATTTGGTGTTTCTTGGTTTACTTTTGGTGCCTGATGCTTTTAGTTTCTTTGTAGTGGATGAGTACTTTGAACAGCTGTAATTGAAAAGCCATTCATGTTGATGATCAGAAATGTGTGAGAGCTGTGGATTACAGTAAGGGAAAATTGAAATGGGAACTGTAAGGCACCTGCAACAGTAGGGCCACGTTTCTTTCAGACTCTTTATTTTCCTAAAAATTCATATTTCTTATGGTTGCGTATATCATTATTGTTTATTAGGCAGCAATACGGAAAGAACTGAATGAATTCAAAAGCACAGAAATGGAAGTACACGAGGAAAGTCGGCAATTTACCAGGTGGGTGAATCCCTCCTCTTGTGTAAGTGTGAGAGAAATGAGTATGACAGCAAGCCTCTGCTTTTCTGCAAGTTCTCTGCCATTGTGTCATGATTTGTGTGGATTGCTATCATGAGTCCCCTTGAAACCCACCACTGATTCTGTTGGAATTCCCAGTATTGCTGATGCCATCTCTAGCTGATGCAGCAGTGCAGGTGACTGGTCACTATGCAGAAAAAGATTGTTTGGGGAATCTAAAAAATGCAAGAACCCTTGCAAGAACCCTTCAGTTCTTACGGATGAAGTTAGTAATCTTCAAGCACACAAAATAAAAGGGGTTTCCTCCTCTGGCAACACTCCCTTGCTCATTAAAGTATACATTTGTGTAGATGCGTTTCCTAAGTGAAAATTAGATGATGTTTTGAACTTCAGAAAAGCTCACCAGTGTCTTGGCGAGCTTTCTAAGGGTCACTAAGGCTCCTGGCAGCAGTTTCTGGGGAACAAGATAGATTCCCTTGTTGCCACTTCTAGTGTGTTAATGTGGATTTGTTTTGTTCTCTGCTTTGGATATCACCAAGATGTTGTCTGAAGCATTGTTATTTTAAGGAGCTCTGAAGTGTCCACAGTATTTTAGCAGGCTTTCAAATTGGGCAGAATTATTCCTAGGGGGAGGGACACACTTTCTGAAATCTAGATAGCGTGTGTTCATTTTTCTTGGAAGTTACAAAGGCTGAAATTTGCCACCAGCTATCAAAACGTGATGTTAGGGTTGGCCAACATTGTGTACATAGTATTAATGTCTTTGCTTCCGCAGAAAATTAAGTCAAACAAAACCAGTTGTCTAAGACTGAGTCCCTTCTGTTTCCTCCTACTGTTTCAACCAAACCAGGATCTGAGCTAGTGAGTGTGAATCACCTAATTAAAGAATGCGTCACAAGGAAAATTCATTATGGGTGTGTCATGTATCTGCTACTTCACTGTTTGATTTCACAGCTTCAGTGATTTCTTTCTCACCAAAACATGGAGTTTTTAAAAATAATAACTTATCACTTCTGTGTAGATACAACATAAAACAAATTAATTTTTAAAAATTCAAACCAGTTTCACAGACAGCAAACCTAAGCCAGAAGGTGAACCAGGATGCAGGGTTTTAATGTAGTGTTGCATTCTGACCACTAGAAAATGTATTTTTCAAACATGGAGATGTATTTTTTCATTTGGCTTCTGATGTCATTTTCTCTTCAGGTAGCACATAGTATATCTTTTCAGAATGTATAAAAATACTAATTTTTAAAAAAGAGCATCCCAAGGGAGAGAATAAAAATAGCAGGTATGGAAACCAACCCCCTGCTTACATTGTTGTGTTTCTTGAGTTGCTTTGCAATATTGAATCCTAAGTACAGATTCATACAGGCATGATTCACACAAAAAGAACTGGATATTTTTTCATGAGCTTTGAGAACAGTTGAGGCTGATTACAACTGGATTCTTGAAAGCTGAACCAGGAATCTCGTGGAGTGACAAACCAGTAAAAAAGTGAATAATTTTCTTCAAGGAGGGCCTTTAAAAATGGAGTAAAAAATAGGAACAGCTAAACTGTGATAAATACAGGCAATGATTCCATAGGGTTTTCCATAAAGAATTTTAACCTGAGGGAAATCAGGTTTTTTCTGTTCCTTATCCATGCTCTTTTGTTTCACTGGTCATGTGGTGGAGTTACTGCACAGAAGTCAAAAGAGTAACACTAGAAAAAGATAATTAAGAGCAGAATAACATGCAGATGTTTTAAGTCAATTACAATTTTGAAAATAAAAAGAGATCCCATTTTCCCTGGGACATCTCATTAAAAATTATGTTTTCTGCTACGTAATATTGGATTGATACAACAAAAGTGATTTAAGAAAACCATAGACAGAAATATCTAGCCAGAGAATTAATTTCTCATACTTTAATTATTTTCAAGATCACTGAGATAATGCAAACCAAAAGGCACTTCCATTGGCACCTGATTAGCAAAGACTATTCTGTGATAGACTGAGACAACAAGGAAGGTGCTTACTAAACAAAAATAGCTTATAGTATATGGTTTCTTATACTATTGCAAATTAAATATAGATGATTTAATATTATAATCAGTACTTACAATATATTTGAAATGTTAAAAATTTATATCAAACTTAGAAAAGAAAGAACAATGGGTTTCATTGTTCATCATTTACTCTAATGACTGTCAATAGACTGGTTTTCTAGTCGTAGTAATTTAGACTGATTCTTTCTGTTATTTCATAGCAAAATCCAAGAAAATTAGTTTCTAAAAATAGAGAAATCAATACAAGTTTGGGAGGAGCATATTAGCAGGTGTTCATTAAGTGTTTCTAATGAAAATGCTATATATGGTCCAGTATATTGTTTTTCCACAAAATACAAAACCCCTGTGTCTTTTTAGCAATCCTCTGTACCCTCATTTAGCAGATCAGCTGCTTAGTTGTGAATGTCAGGCTTTGTGCACACCTACTTCATTTGAGAAATGCATCCCTGTATTGTATTGAATCAACTTACAGGGATAATGTGTGGTACTATTGAGAGAAAATGTGTCAAACAAAAACTTAGGTAAATCTATTGTGTAGATGTATCATTATCTATGCCTTTTTCAAGCTGCTGCACCTTTTACTACTTCATGTACAGATAAATTTTTAAAGCCATTTAAACAGAGATATATGTCTATACACTGAGAACCTGACACTGGTGCCCTCCTTACCCTTTTGCTTGGATTCATTACATTTAACATGATTTAGAATTTCAATTGCTGTAGGTTCCTAACTTATTATAGAAAGGGTTGGTGACACCTTTTGGAGCAACCCATTTCTCTAGCCATCATACAGCCAATCTGGAGTGATGTGCATGCCCTACCTAAAAGCCTAAAAAAGTGAGGTATATTTGGGTCTTCATGTACTTCAGTTCACTGCTGTTAATAAGAAGAAAGCATCTGAAATGCTACAAAATTTGCTGCTTAGGTAAAAGAAAATACAACATTTTTGTTAGCCTCATTTTACACAAGGATTTAAATCCCAGAATTTTAATTTTTATGGTTTAGGAAAGCCTTTCTGGTAATCCTTACTGACAGCATCTGCAAGTAATGGATGCAATTGTAGCTAAATCTGTATTGGCAAACAGACTGGAGACTCTTCTCTGGCCCTGAGGCCAGCAAGCTTGGCACAGCTTGAATCCATGCAGTTAACCTGTCCCTCTCACTCAAAACAGGGAGATGTCCCCCCTTCCCAGCCTGCCTGCTGTCCTGTGCTAACCCCAGCCATGCCCAGGCAGTACCTGAAAGCACTGGCTGACCCAAGCAAAACTCTGCCAGGGACCACATTGGCAGGTTAATGGCACGGACAGACAGCAACACACCAGGGCTTGAGCCACACCAAATCTCTGTTTGGTTTTCTATTTAGAGAGAGATGGACAGCAGGAAATAATAGGTCTGACTCTAAACCAACACAGATCAGGAAAATCAGGAATAATTGGCCCACAAAAGGAAACAGCTGTGAGAACAGGATGAGGATCAGTGTCATTGTCAGTTGAAATAACACAATTCTAATATTTTAATTTATCTTTTCAGGTTTCATCGTCCATAACTGTTTGACTACATCCCATATTTCAAATAACAATTTTCTTTGGGGAAATCATTGCGTCCTGAAGACCTGAAATTGCACTGGAACTTGACTGAGTATGAGTGTGTGCTACAGCTTACCCTGAGGCTAATGAAGAAAGTGGCCCTTGTCTTTGTCAATGGACAAATGATTAGTCTAGGAGGAGAACCCACAGGAAGTGTTTGTCTGTGTCCAGACAAACCACGGTTCTGTGGCCAGCCCACACAGACAAGCCAGTGGACTTCTTTGTCAGAGCTCCACGAGTCAGGAAGTGCTGAAGACAATCGCTGGAGAGCCTGCTGCCAGGATATCATCGGGCTTCACGGGGTTGGGACTGAGGGTAGCAAAGAGGGAGGGGGTGACAAAAGAGCCGAGAGCTGGGGAAGAAAGAGACTTTGTCTGTCAGTCCACAGAGCTAAGTGGAATGGATGGAACTGCTCAACAATGCATTTGGCCAGTGGGAAGAATTATTTTTTAAAAGAAAGAGAGTGTAAGCAACTGTGCATGTAGGTTTTTTCAGTGGCTGCAGCCTGTCTTAAAAAGATAGCAAGCCATAAGTCCTCATGTCATCTGTACTTTAGGAAGAACTATAATTTTCTTTGGTGCCAGTAAATACAGTTGCCAGAAATTAGTCCTAGGATAACTCAACTGTCTTTTTTTAAATCCCAGTGCGCATGCTTCAGGAAAACACACGGAACATTCATACAGAACAAGTAATATATTTTTTTGTTTTTTAATGTTGACATACTCGATCCTCAGAGATACATAAACAGGATTTGAAGAACAAATAATGTGACACTATGAATGCAATGAAATGCTTTGTGTTTAGAAACACTCCTTGCTGTCTGTCACTTGCCATTCAAACCATAGGGATCATTATCTTTGTCCATGGCAGGAAGTGGTGACAGCTTTGACATCATGCTAGAGTGAATCCAAAGTCGGAATTGAAATTAGGCACAGAAGTCTTTATTAATAGGCCTGAGCAGTGATTACTAAGGTAACTTTTTATATTTAAGGACTCTTGCACTGCGTTGAGGAAGAACTCCCAGACAAATCAGTATGTCTTCAGCTAGTGATCCTTTAAAAGTGAAAGAAAAAGCCTTGGAGTGTCTCCAGCCTGTTTTTGTTGAGTGTGAAGAATACTTCTTAGATTCCTAACTTTTTTATACTATCTTGAAATTGTACATGTGAATAGAGTACTATTAAAATTAAGTGGTATGGAGTGTGAAAGGCAATACATGGTTTTTCTAAGTTGGCCCAAAGGCCTATTAAAAAGCCTGTGGCATTGTTTACACTAAGAAATTCTCTGTCCTATATTAGCACTTATTTATCCTTTGAATTAGTGTACACAACATTGGGGGGGTGGGTCTGGAATTCACATATGCATACATTTAATGCAGTATTACAATATATTTGCTATTTATCCTTTCTAATGTGTGTACATATTACAATTTATTTTTGTCTTTTATGTGTCCTGTTCAGTTTTTAATTATGAAGTGTAAGTATTTCTTTTTCTGGCAATAAAAGGTCTGTGTAGATGTGATTTTTACCTCAGAACCTGTGATAGATTCTTGTGGAATGTGTTTAGTTTATAAAATTGAAGGTTGGTGTTAGAGATGTCAGCCTAAAGGCAGGAAGGCAATTTGGTGGCTAAAATTAGATATCCTTCTTTAGAGCTATTTACAACAAGACCAGCTTTGCATAAATGAGGTGGATTATTTTAATGAAGAGCACTTCTAGTAACAGAAGAGTGCTTTCCAACAGCTGTCACTCTCTGTCATTCTATTATTTTTAAAGACATTGGGAAAGCTTTTTTAAAAAAGGTAAGATTTAAATTACTGTTAGGATCCATTACACTTTGATAGAAATCTAGTGATGTACAAGCCACAAAATATCAATAACCAAATAAAAAAAGCCATCTACATGCTTGTAGCAAAGAAAAGGAAGCAGCACCTTCCTTTTTTAATGGAATCAATAAGAGCCATTAGGATTCCATTTGCAGAAAACAAGCTTCTGGAAAGTCCATCACTTTATAAATATAGAAACACCACTTTGACATCAAGGAAGCAGTGAAAATGTATCTTTGGCACTAAATCATACAGGAATTAGCAGGACATTAGGTTTGTCAGCAATTCTGGTAGAATGCTAATTTTTATTTTTAGAATTTGAAGAGTAAACTCAAAAGTTACACTAGAATAGTTCTGCTTAAACTTTTTTTTTGCTGATGTTGCCAAATTTAGGAATGTGTGTCCAAAATCATAAAAAGGTCTACTATGTTGGCTTTTAAATATAAAACACAGTATTTCACTTCAAAGAAAATGAGTGGAGCAATTAAATAGATCTCAGTGTTGCATTAATCACGTTGAAACATTTGAAAGCAGCCAAGATACTGAAGGCAGAAAGACAGCTGTTAGACAGGCAGCATAACTCAGACAAAGGTAAGGTCAGACTATAAATATTTTATATAAGACAGTAGCTCCACCACTATGCCAAGGTACACACAGGTTACACAAGCAAATTAAAACTTGTTAAACTCTTAGGATGAAGTAAAAAATTGACTTTGCAAGAAGACATTCCTCTATACTAGGCCTGGACCATGGATGGAAAGTCATGCCAACCTTATTAAGAATAATAACACAAAGATGAGGATATAACTTCTGGCTTAGACGTCTTCAAGCTGAAGTTATGTCATAAGAAATAAAGATGTGTAGGTGAGGTATTACTTAGGCTTTCCCTGTCTTCCTTCTGGGGTTGGAGGGGTTTTTTTTAAGTATTCCCTCCAAGCCATTTCTAGTAGCAGGACTCTAGCCTTGGTAGAGATGCTGAGTTAATTTTTAATTTCTTGCTATTTTGATAATAATCAGATGCATTGTGTGCCCCACAGTTCAGCAAACTCATTAAGCACATTTATGTAACTGGACAAAAAGAATTACCTTTATGGGAACTTATGTAAAATCTTATGTAGTATACTATATAAGATTATTATAAGATGTAGCAGAATTAGAACTACACACTATCTATAGTGTATTGTATCCACACACAGACATAGAATTGTATATACTATTTTTGTATTCTAAATATCACCTGGCAGAAAAGCAACAGCTGTAACGTATTGTCCATGAAAAAAAATAATGAGAATTTGGTATGTCACCATGTGCAGTGAAGAAAGTTTGCTTTAAGAAGCCTGAAGTCAATTTCTGCTGCCTCTCCTAGATGTCTGTATTGATAAGTTCAAATGTTCTCCAGTTGCATCAACAACCTATTGGAAATATTACACCATATACCTGCTTTGGTGCATGCCTTCTAGAAGGGAAAAAATCAGGGTAAGTCCTGAGAAATTAATGAGTTAATAATCCTAGGCAATAGGATTTTAATTATTAACTCATTTTTTTAATGAGTTAATAATCCTAGAGTTAAAAATAAAAAGATGTTAAACAGGCAAAGAAAAAATAGCACTTTTCATGCAAAGTATAGTACAGTGCAGTTGGCTAAGAGGCATTAGTATGATAATTTTTATCAAGTTGGATGAATCATTTAAATGTTATGCACCAGATATGACAACCTTACACACATGATACCAATGTTCCTACAGAGTCAGGTATGTCTACATCCACAGAAAGGAAAATGAGCAGCTTGAAGTAATGGCTGCTGAAATTATCTCACATATAATATTTATCAGTATAATTACACATCACAGCATGTTGCTGTGGGTGCAAAAGAATGGATGCTTAATCAAATCCTAATTTCTTCTTCATATAAAAAATTGAAATGGTTCTAGAGTGTCTCGCCTCTCTCTTCTTTCAGGTAATACATATTAGTCTTTATAACTCAGATACGGTCTGTCTGGATTTTTTTTTTATTGTGCAATATATGTTGACTCAACAAGTGCCAAAAAAAAAAAAAAAAATTAAATGCTAATGATTATTTAAGCTAATACCATTTCAGCTGGTGATTTGAAACATGTTAGGACCAGAAGCAACATCTCTTCAAAGTCACTGTAAGTACTCATATATTTGTAGTTCTACAAGACTGCATTTATTTGTTTGGTTTATTATTTACATACAGTTGTGCATGTCCCTTGCTGTGGTGGACTGGACCGACCTCTGATGTGGTGTGGGGCAGGACAGCCCCACCATCTGCTTTGGCCAACCTGAGCACCTCTTAGAGAAGCACCACAACCTTAGTGCTGACATGGAAAAACCACATCACATAAGCACCCATTTTTTACCTTGAAAGCCAAATGAAAGCTGTGAAACAAAGGTATGAAGTATCCCTGATATTATAGAAATTAGACCCCTCCTTCCAGGTGAAGCGAGTGCTTGGTTTCCTGCAGAGATGCTTCAAACTCAGACCTGTAACTAATAATGCTACAGCTACATGAGAGAATTTGTTTCAAATTAATAGTTGCTTAACCTGACTATAAACTCCATCTGAGCCCCAATTTTGTATCATCATAAAGTACTAAAAGATCCAGCCAGCAACAGACTAAAAACATCTAATCCAGTCTGACAGCCTGGGAATCAACCAAAACTCCCTGACTGTCTGCAGCTGGCAGGGCTTCGAGTCAGGGTAGGTAGAGCCACACTGTCACTGGGTACTCGGCAGCACAGGCCTGTGTGAGCACTGCTGACATCCTAAGCAGAGACCAGAATATTGGCCCATGTCTTAATGTCTGTTGATGCTTTAACGACAAAGCAAACCAAGCTAAAAGCCTACATTTGCATGAGATTGTCAGGTGCACGTGAATGGTGTGTTTAACGCTTTCCCATCCTCTGGATTTAATGATCTTCAGGAGTTAAGACCTGTGCCATTGTTGTAAACTAAACTGAAAATATACTCAGGGTGAAAAAAACAAGTGTGAATAAACTTGCCTCCTGCCTTTAGGATCTTCCACATTTAGTACCATTGTTGTTGCTTGCTGTAGTCTTATTATGTCAAGATCAGTGCAATATTCACTGGTGGGTCATAGATTATGATGAAAATAAAAATATATATTCTGAAAGATTTTATAAGGATGATACAAAACTATTTTGAAGGTCAAATTAAAAACAAAACAAAACAAACAAAAAAAAAGCAGTTCCCAGAATAGCTTAAAACTTCTATTTAACAGAAATCTGAAAAAAAACCACCAAAACTTAGGAAACTGTATCTATAGAAAGAAAGGGAGAAATTGAGTGAAATTAACATATATTTGCTGTAATGTTCAAACAGGTTTATATTTATTAACTCAAATAATTAATAAGGTCTTGTTTTACTTTGTGTTCCCATTTCGTTTCAAGATTTTCATGGAAATAAAGCTTATATGAACTAGATACAACATCTCACCAATATTTTATAGAAGCTACATATTGCATTGGATAGAAACAAAGAAAGCAATGGTATTATCTGTATCTTCTTGTTTAAGCATAAATTCTTTATATTAAAAACAATCTTGCAATACTATGTCAAATTTAACAATATTTGAACATTGTTATGATATAGTAAAATGTTAAAACCTTGTTAAACATATCTTCCTTTCACTACTTTGTGTGGTGGTACATTGATTTGTAAACTTGTACAAATTTTGGAATTAAAGAAATACTGTGTTTTGGATTATTATTATTTTAGCTGGTGTGATTTGAAACACAAATATCAATGGCTCATTTGAACAGTCTGTATCAGCAGCAGGGGAAGGGTGTGGAGATGGCCCATGCTTAATTGCCTGCAACTGTTTAAATAGCTCTTAAGTTTTGGGGAGAAGAGGGGGTATCCTTAAAAAAATAAAACAGAATTCCATTTACAACTGAACTGCAAATCTGGGAGAGGCACAAGAAGGGCACAGACACTGTTGTGCACACACAGGAGCCGATAAAGCTGGTAAGTCTGTGTCCCTTCCCCGCATTCTGCGGCACAATAGCTCAAACGCTAAATCATGGCGACGTTTGTGTGCTGTGCTTTGGACCCAGCTGCACCTTAAACACTGGGAGATCACAAACCTGTGTTTCTCTGGCAGAGCTGCAGTACACCAGGACAGGTTCAGCAGTAGGAATCACTGCACTCCTGCCTCTTCCAAGCAAGCCCACACGGACGCTGCGGAGCGATGACCCCCGTAAGGAGGGCTGATCACACATCCACACCAGTGCGCGTTGCTGAGCTCCGGGACGGTCTTCCGAGGGTCCAGTACAGCCAGAAGGTTCTTCCTTGCTGGATAGACTCCAAGGCAGCCACAATCACCTGAAATGGAATTGTCACATGAATTCATTGCAACTCAAATTTTGCATCCAGAGTGTCACCTATTCATACACACTGGGCCATTTCTTAGACTTTATTTTTTCTATTAATTTGATGAAAAATAGTGAAAAATTATTCTTTAAGTAACTTCCTTTGATTTAATTAAATGTTCCCATTTTCAAGTCAAGTAAGGCAAACAAAATTCAAACCTTGGTTCCCCACTGCCCGTCATGCTAAATAGTTACTGGTAACTACAAAAAATGTATCTGAAACATTATCAGCTTAGAATTGCTGTCCCTCTAAAATGTACTTTCCACATGTTTCATTACTTTCAAAAGATGGATGCTGTGGAGAAGCAATACCAACAACTTTTCAGCTTACACAGGGCGGATTTTACGTAACAATTATAAAATGAATGCATCAACTTGGCTCAGTGTGATTGAATATGGTAACTCTAAAGTGGCAGATCTGATACTGCATTTTACACAGGTGTGTGATATCTGGGAATGCAAGTAACTGTTACAAATTAATGACAGCTGCTTCTTGAGGTTTTATCTGTTTTATATATATATCTCTATATATATATATTTATGTATATACACACACACACAAATATAGTCCAGTATCATCACCTGAAAAACATAAAGAATGTATTGGGGGTTTATACAGTACATATGTTATGCTTGCTTTATGGTGTTTTTATTAAAACAAGGAAACTCAAATTGTGCTGCCTAGTTGCACATTACTGTAGGATACTCTGCTGTGCACAGTTCCAAGTGCCTTAGATAACTGTTTTGCTCTTTGAATTATAGATATATATGAATCAATATATAGAAACAGAAAATTTTAAAAATCACCTCTAGAAAATTGTTCAGAAAACCTTTACTGAAAATGTTTTCTTCTTTAATCTCTAGCATGTACATAGTACATGAATCTCTAGCATAGTAGAGTTAAATTCAGAGAGCCTCCAGAGGCCAAATTAAACTCCCTCCTTGTAGAACTGAAATTTAAAAATGTTCCTGAAACCTTCCTTTGAATTCTGGTAATCCTTCAAACACATGTGGTAAATTTCCTGTGTGCGGTGTATTCATGGAGAGGTGTGTTGAAAGAAGTGATACTTGGTTTAAAAATACAGTTAGGGTTGTAGCTTAATGGTTCGGAGACCTAATCTATGCGTCCAGTTTCCTCTTTTTTTAGCAAGAAGTGATTTTACCAGTTTCATTGACAGCAGATTTACAGTGGAAATACACCCTCTGCACAGGAACAAAGCTGATCTGCACAGCTGAGGGTTCAGCCTAGTCAGCAGTGCATCTGCCAATCTTTTAACTTTCAAAGTGACTGACAATGACTTTTGGTTTTAATTACTTTGAAATAATTTCTTCTTTGAAAGAACTAAGAGGAAAAAATGAGCATAAATTTCCTCACTCAGAAGGCAAGTTGATGCTTATGTTAAGGATGTGCTTCCAGCACATTATCTTTTAAGTGGCTGCCTTGACAGTGAGACTGTTTCAATACTGACCATTTTTCTTCTGCGAGCATAAAAGGAGTGGTTAGTGACCTGAGCACTTACCCCTCAGTCTCTGTAGATGCTCTTTGCTGAGTTCTGTTAGCAGTCACTGCAAAGAACCTGGCAGTGAGAGAGTGCTGTGGGAAGGATGGCCTTGTAAGGCTAGGATGAAATGAGAAGCTTAAGCAGAGTCTCTGAGACACTCTTTCATACACAGTACACATCCATGTAATGCTATATATTGAATTACCTATATTATATATATAAATTCAATATATATATTATATATATATATTGAATTATATATTATATATATATAAATAAGGAGATGGCTCACCCTCAGGTATCAACAAAGGAGGCAATGTGGTGCCTATTGTTGTTAATCCATGATTCAAACTCATCCTCAGATGTATTACTGTTAGTATACATTAGCAATCTTCTGTGATATGGGAAGGAACCTGTCTTAATCTCTGTGTGACCATATAATACATACCCTTCCTCCTAAATACTTAGAATCTAACCAGGAAATTCAGGGGAAGGATGTAAATTAAAGTAAGACAGAAAACACTGAGACTTAACTGGTAAATTATCTTACACTTAGGAAACAGCTGACTAACAACAGAGCTGAGAGCAAAATATAATTTTTCCTACATCCAAACTGATACAATGCTCCCAGACCAGATTGGGGTGTGTGGAATGACAGTACTGCCACCACCAGATACGGAGGTGCCAGGTTTAGGGGATTGTGAAGCGTGACCCTGTCACCAAGGCTATGTACATGCAGTTCTGTGGATGCCAGAGAGGCAGGTCAGGAACTTGGAAGCAATAAGGAGTAATCTAATCTACATCATTACCCCACAAATAAATGCTAAGTACTGTGTTTTCAACAGCTGAGTGACTCTGTTCTTAATTACCCTGTGAAAATCCAGCTCTGCTGTTCCAGCTGTCGCAGGGTTGGCAGCACAGACACACTGCAAGGAAGGAGCTGTTGCTGTTGGGTGCAGCCATGAAAAATCCATTCGCAGGCTGAGATCCAGGAGGGATCATTTGCGGATCTCCTTGTGCCCCGGGGGGTGCACCACGCCCGCACATGGCTAACAACGAGACACTCACCGGCACTTTTCCCAAGGAAGAGGAAAGTCCAGCCCTTGCACAGATAAATGCAGAGATAACCTGAATCTTCCGAGTCCAGGAGTTATTTCAGCTGATGGAGTGGATCAGATTAGATTGTGCACTTCTGCAAGAGTGGTGTGATGAAACTGGGTAAAGATTCAAGACTTCAGAAAACAGCCACAAGAGTGAAAATCTGGGTTCTTTCGGAGCTTTAGTGACACCTACTGAAAACCAATGAAATCCACCCAAATATGACCAAAGCAATACCTTCAGGTACATGCATGCATATATATTTGGCTGCATCCATACACACATAATGTGGATAATTTTTCCGAATTTTCAGTGAAAACCTCTTCTTAGCTGTCATTGTTTTATTTGCCTGTAAACACATGGAAAAAACCTGCTCCCCTCTGTGTTTTACGCTTTCCTTTGAGAAGTAACAAAGCAGGTTTTAAAATACCAAGCATACTTCTATTTTTCTTAGCAAGAAGCCTGTACATGAGTGCCCGTGTCTGTGCACAGCCCCGCTACACGGTGTAGGTAAAATTCATACAGCTACAGTGTCATACTGCAGAATGGTTCAGGTTGGAAAGGACCACAGTGGAACATCTGCTCCAGCCTCCCTGCTCACGCAGGGCTATCCTGAGGCACACGGCACTCGGCTGTGTCCAGATGGTTCTCGAGTATTTCCAGTGAGGGAGACTCCACAGCCTCTCTGGACAATCGATTCCACTGTGTGATCACCTGCACAGTAGATTTGTCCTTATACTCAGGTGGAACTTCCTGTGCATCAGTTTCTGCCTGGTGTCTCTTGTCCTATTGCTGGGCACCATCAAGCAGAGCCTGGATCCCTCCTCTTGACACCCTCCCTTCAGATACTTATGGCCATTGATGAGGTCCCCCCCTTAGTCGTCTCTCCTCTGAACAGGCCCAGTTCCCCCAGCCATTCCTCGTCCGAAAAAAAGAACTCAAATACGGCAAAACACTGTTAATACCAATACGGGTCATTTACTCCCTGTCCTCCAGACTCAGCCCCCATAACCCGCCCGTCCCCTCAGCCAGCCCAGCCCGGCTGCTGCGCACGCGCGCCGCCCCATGGCCGCCTGCGCCGCGCTCCGCCATTGGGAGAGCTGGCGGCCCGAACCATTCGTCACTGTTTTGAGGGGAGAACTGGGAAAATGTGTCTCCGACATGCGTCATGCTTGGGTCCACTGAGCCTCTCTTTTATCAGAATATTATTTCAGTTTGAGAAAATACCCGTTGTTTTTTTTGTTTATTAGGAAACAAAAACATACAAACTAGGCCGGACTGGCAGCTTATCTGGTTCCCCCCGTTGGTCAGTGGTGTATCCCAAGATGGAGGGCACAGCCCCGGGACCCTGACGCCTGGCCCGCGTGGGAGCGAGTAGGGTTGGGGACACCGGGAGCGGCCGGGGGACAGCGCCATGGTGAGTGTGCCGTGCTCCGTACTCGGGATTGACAGGCGAACAAGGCAACTTAGAGCAGTAGGGCCCCCAGGTAGCCTGTATCGGCTGTAACGCTGTTTGTTAGGTAAGTAAAGCCGGAAACCTTGCTGGAAGTGTTTTTCCAGGTCAGATGTGGTAAGCCGTAGGAAAGGCTTTCAGCCGGCTGAGAACACTCGGTGGGTCTGTTGATGCAGACCGCACGTGTATTCGATGTTGGAGCTGTGCCTGGCTAGTGGTGCTGCCGATGGTGCTCATGACTGATGTTAAATTGCTGCTCTGGTCGTCTAAAGCACGAAACAAGGT